AAATAAGCAATATTGATAAATAAATTTTTACGACATGTATAATTTGAAACTTAGACTATTCCTTCACAGATTTACAGATTTCGGCCAATAATTGCAGTATTGCTCCAGTAAGTATCTAAGTTTTTAGTTTTGTCCTCTTAATTATTTTCAGTTGTTTGATTTTGCCATTGAGTAACCGCCAGTTTTTTTCTGCGGGACGAAAGCTCATCATTCGAGATTTTCGAGTACACAATTTTTGTTACTTTCTCCTGTTTTTTTTCAACTCATTGACAAATGCCCATAACTATGAGAGATTTTTTTTCTCAATTTCCATGATTCGCAGACATTTGTTTTTCTGAGATTTTGTGGCCTGCCCTAAACATTTGACATGAAAATTCTATATTTTGAATCCAAAATTTTCTTTGTTTTTGGTCAAATCCACAATTTTTGAAGCCTTCAGCCTTCAGTACAGCCCAGATCGTCTCATTTTTTGAATTTTGCAATTACTTTATCAATTGGCGAAACTTTTAAGCTAAAAATTTTTTCGACAAAGTAGCTGAAACGGTCGGTTATTTCTGTAGGCAATAGTTAGTCGAACAATCTGAATTTTCCGGAGCAGGGCCTGTGTGTAATGAAAACAACATCCAAATTGATTGACTCCCAGCAAAAAAGTGTTCACACCAGCTATAGAACCCGTCTCATAATCAGATATCTTATAATTCGAGTAGAATATTTTTGACAAAAAAGTTGACGATTTTCATCAATTTTTCTAAATAAGTTTTACTAAGCCTCTTTGGTTTTTTTCGGACATTAGCTTGCAAAGTGATGGGATTTTGCGGTTAGTCACTGCAAAAAAGATTCTATAATATTGCAAAACGGTTTTGGTGCAGTCTTGAAAGTACCGTCGCGTAAAACTTTAATTTGCTTTTTTTGCAAAATTGTATGTTTTTGTGCAAACAAAATATCACCATTCCGAAAATACGAAATCTTGATTGTCACTGGTTTCACTCCATTTTCATCTACTGCTACATCCTGTAAATTTTTGAATATTTGTGGCAACATTCTATTCCGTTTTTTTAGTAGCCAGCAGCTAATTTCGTGGTGCTCCGGGGAAAAAATCCAACTCCTGAGTTATTTTTAATTTGCTCGCCGTAGATCCCTTTCACAGCTTTTGTTGGATCATTATGGATTTCGCTCAAAGTTTTTCACCTAAAACTTTTTTCGTCATGGAATGTAATGTCAGGATCATGCTTGTGGTTACCTGGATTTGAGAGAATTTGTAATTTCTTTGTTTGCCATTAACATTCCCCCGCAGTTGGAGATAACACAACGACCATGACAACTGGACTTAATTTTTTCCATCTTTCTGAAACTTAAATTCAACATAGGTAATTAGAGTTTTTCCACCTCGGTACTTAGACGGAACAAATTTGAATTTTTGCATTTTTGACAGCTCGATTTGCAATATTAAAAGCTCAACCAAATCTCAATTGTAGACTGTGAACAATTTTCGCACCCAATATTGTCTTTTTTCTCAAAGTTAAGTAATGGCCGGCTAATTTCCTTTCAACTTCTCATAAAACCCAGTTTATGTTGTTATGAATCAAAGGAAAAAAAGACTGCTGGTATCAAGGGGCAAAACTCTGGGTGTTTGCTCCACTTCAACGTCCATTATAGATCGATGCAACAAATTTTATCAAAAAGAACATTTTGAGGGCTATGAGCTTCCTTTTGCAAAAAAAGAACACTCGGTGTTTTGAAGTAGTAAGGTTTGAAATAGTTTTTTTTTCGGAATTTTGTCCGAAAGTTGTTATAAGATAAAAACAAACGGTCTGAACCAGGACAAGAGCGAATTTGAGACTGGGTTGGGATGCATGGAAACCCTCTTCCTCACAGGTACTCGATCGCTTTACTACCCAAAAAGTCCCCCTTTGGTACTTTTCACGCATCCAATTTTGGCCTGAACGACCCTTCAAATTTTCTAAAGGAGCTTTTCAATCAAAATATGCTAATTTTCACAAGGAAGCGTGCGCCGACAAATCGACGCTAATGCATTTTTGGCCGGTGTTTTTTCAAGTTTGTCTTAGAGTGCAAGAAATTGATGGAAAACGGTTTTAAAAGTGTTTTGGAAGAGTTCGCAAAATCAATCAATCAACATGGAAAATTCAAATATCAGATGAAAAGTTCAAAATCAACTAGGTTTACCAACGTAAAGGTCAAATATTAGGTCAAATTAAAAGAGTCAAAGGGATGCCCCTGGTCAAAACAAAAAACCTCCTGATACAAAAAAGCATGCATTTAATTCAAAAATTATTATTATGGATATTAGAATAAACTACAAGTGAGAGAGCTATCGATTCATTTCTCCTTTCCCCCACATCTGAGCTTCAAATTTGAGCAAAACTGCTTGTATCAGGGGAAGCCAAGAATGTTTCGACTGCCTCTTAAGGTCTGTGGAGCTGTAGTAACATGAAAAAAATAAACGTACTAAAAAAAAGATTTTTTTTTTTAATTTGAGAGTTTTTGTGAAAATCATCCCCCCACACGCCATATGAAGTACAAAATAACAAATTTCGGTCCTAGTAACAAATTTATTATGGCAAATAAGCTTGCTTCGATCATTTTGGAACAATTTCTAACAAGGATTAAATCTCCGCTTACGCGTTAATAGCGCGAAATATATTGCGCGCTAATTGTCCCAAATTGGCCAAAATTGCAATCTGTAAATCCTTGTAACTTTACAAAAAATGATCACAGGTTAAATATGAAGTTAAGAATTTTTCCACACTCTGAAATAAAGTAATAAGCTTTTTTTGCCACATTCTGGAATTAAATAACAAACGTTTACTTTTAACTGTTTCAATGAAATTATAGCCCAAAAATGTAACTTTTTGTATATGGTTAGATAATTTTTAGTTTGAAAATTTTGGTGGTCGAGAAATAAGGCCTGTTGTTTTATTAAATTATCTTTATCTTAGCATATGAAACAAAAAAATCATAATCGTGTTTACAAAAAAAAGACACTTTTTTGTGGTTTTTGGATTATTTGGGTGAAAAAAAAATTCTTCCTGGACTACGTTATAAACACAAAATTCAAAATTTGCATGCACATTTTTTTCGTACAAGATATATTTGAGCACAAAAGCAGGTTTGCAAAAAAATAAATTAAAATTTTTTACCTCAAATTTGTGTTTTTTTTTCTATGAAGAAATTGCAGAAATTCAGAAAATGAATTATGAAAACTGTATGATAAGCATTTTTCCGAACGAGTCTGAAACTATCTTTTTAGCAGTAAGTTGATCTCAATAGCTGAAAACCCCAATTAAACTCATTTAAAATTGCCCAAACAAAGTTTCAATTGATTTTTGAAATTTCTAATTTTTCTCGAAAAAATGCTTATCGTACAATTTCATATATGAAAATTATATGATAAGAACTTTTTCGAACAAAACTAAAATCATTTTTTTGATAGTTAAACTGCTTTTTGTCATTGAAAGCCTTTGTTAACCTCATTTGTAATTACCGAAACATGTTTTTAGAGAGATATCTATAACTCTATCAGAAATAATTCTATTACAAAATGCTTATCATAAAATTTTCATCCATGAAAATTGTATGTTAAGCATTTTTCCATTCAAAATTTTGAAATCATTTTAACATGACCATAAAGCTTCAAATGAGCCAAATAGAACCAGGGGCGGATTTAGGGGGGGGGGCGGGGGGGGGGCGGACGCCCCCTCTTCAGGGATTCGACCCCCTGCCGACCCAAAGGGTCCCCCCTTTGATACTTTTTCAGAAATCCATTTTTGGCCGACCGACCCTAAAATTTTTCTAAAGGCGCCTTTGGCGCCAATATATACTAACTTTGAGGGGGAGCGCGCGCCAAAAAAAACGCGATTTTTTGTCAAAATTTTTCAAAAAGTGCCCAAAAACGGCTTTTTTGACTGTTTTTTCAAAAATTTGCCTGCGGCGCACAAAATTTTGCCCAAATATGGGCAAAACAGTGCTTTGGGAGAGCTCGAAAATCAATTTGGTCGACCTAAAAAAAAAAAAGGTCGTCAAAATTTTCGAATTTTTTTTGAAAATCCGCCCCCCCCCCCCCTCGAGAAAATCCTAGATCCGCCCCTGAATAGAACAATAATGTGCATTATAAATTTTTAAAACAGTTTTTTTTAATTTTGTATGAAAATTGTATGATGAGCATTTTTTCCATAGACGCCATATATGAAATTGTTTGATAAGGGTTTTCCTTCTATGGGCGTCAACCCGGGTATTTGGCCGTTTTAATATGTAAGGCAAATACAAAAATGGAAAATTTGAACAGTGGGGGAGGTGGAAAAGAGCCTCATTATTACTAGTTTTGTTAGCTAGGAAGTGCTGATTTTTAAAAAATGTTTTTTTTATTGGATTTAATCATTGGCGTTCTAAGTCGTTACTAGCCATCGTACGTCTCTTAATAACACGTTGTTGAATATAATTTTTTCATTGGACAGATATGGCGATTTTCCCCTCTCTTCAGTTTGGTATTTTCTGAAGGAAAAGCGAAGCATTCCTTTCATATTTATTTGTTTTATTTCGGGGCTAACTTTTAACAGTGCACAAGAATATCTTTCAAAATTTGTGATTGTCCTTCTCAAATTTGAGGTTTCTTTGAGACTCAGTATTTCTGGAAAAATATTCAGTTATTTTTTTCAATCGGTTTCCGCAAAAAAATACCGTCTGATTACTTTGACAAATACTAATGATCTCAATATTTTTATCTTTATGCTAGATTGATTCTGTCTGAGTTAAAAGAACTAATTTTGAAAATAAAGTATATTATTAGTATTTAATTCGATCAACATTTTCAATGTTATTTCACTCGTTTTTGTAAACTTATTGAAATTTTTGTCGCTTATAATTCCTGTTCGATTTATATTTACATAAAAGTTGGTTGATTTGATCAGAATAAAAGAAAAATTTGTTGAAATGGAAGATTTTTCGAATTATACAAATGCTACCAACCTAACTGAGGAGACACTTGTTGGCTCATACACCCGGTCCATACCTGAAGTAATGGCCCGATACATGATGTGGTCCACGACAGCTATGGCCGTAGTCGGCAACATCCTTCTGCTCATCGTTTTCGCCCAACGAAAGGCCATTAAAGTGCATGACATGCTAATTGCAACTTTAGCTTGTCTTGACCTTGTTCACGCTTCTATGAACATCTTAATGAATATTTTACCCGAAAGTGTAAAAACCTACAATCCCCTTGCGTTTTGCTACTTCAGTCATTTTATGTACCACTATGTACTACTTGCCAGTTGTTTCACTCTGGTCGAAATTACAATTGACAGACTTTTAGCCATTTGCAGCGTTTTGTTTCATAGAATACATGCTACCAAGAAAAGGTGTTTGATAATAATTGGGTGTACCCAACTGCTCGTCTTTGCTCTGATCGCCCCGTCCGCTGGAATATGCATTGAAGGTATCATATTTTTATTTTTAGTTAAAGAGACTTGATTAATTTTTCAACAGCAGATACAAGATACTTCATAAATTAAGCGAAAATCTAAGTTTTTCTCGAGAGGAGATTTTTTGGTGTGAGCTTTTTCCTCAAAGTTTGTAATTACTGGCGTCAAAAATTTTAGGGTTGTTCGGCCGAAAATGAAATTAGTAGAAGAGTACCAAACGGGGGACCCTTTAACGAGCCAAGAGGCCGACATCCTATAAGGGCTACTCATAAATAGTAGTTAGCAGGGAGCTGGAAGAAAAAAAATCGAGTCGCACACTTACTTCTTTTCTCGTTATAAAAAGTGGGAAAAAGTAAATACTGAAAGCTTAAACTTGATGTTATAATGTATAAACTCTGAGCTATTCTGCCATTTTTGATTAAAGTAATCTATCACTTATCCAGTCGTTTAGTTAATTTCTTAGAAAAGCATGAAGTTCCACGCTATTTTACACAAGAACGTTTTTTTTTCCGGAAAACTCTATCTTTATAATTGTCAGAAAATAGCATTAAGACATGCATATTAACAGTTACAGCTTCGGATATTCTCTAAAACTATGATCTGAAACTCTAAGTTTTTACCACTCCCAGTAAGTTAGTGTTATCAGGCGCCGATCAGGGATTTTGTGTCATAAAATTTATCTACTAAATTGATTTTCCGAGCTTAACGAAACACTATGAAAACCGTTTTCAATATTTGATTCATTGATAGAACCAACAGCTCATATTGAGTATCAATAAAATTTCAATCTCCACAAATTTGGAATTTCTCCTATTTTTTTAACGAAATGCAAAGTTGAACAGCTAGCAATCAAAATCAGTTTCAAAAAATTTTCTGCAAGATGAAACTGTAAAAAGCAAGAAAATTTTTAATTTATCAAAAATTTTTAAGTTCAAAGAGAACTCCAAAAGTTAATTATTGTACCCGGATCTAAGTTAATGCTTACACAATTGAAGATAGTTGATTTTATGTAACTTTTGTAACAACAATAAGTGAATACTTTTAAACAAGGATAGCCGGTTACTGTGCAAGTAGCACAGAATGTGCCGACCACAACATTACGAGAGGCCAAACTGTGCACTGGATAGGAGCACAGGAGCACAATTTTGTGTCTGTATGTTCCTGGATTCCAGAGACAAGTCTTTAAATATGTGAAAATTTTGTCGGATCGATCAAAGGAAAGTAAAGAACAAAAGTCGAACAAAGGGAGCGTCCTTGTTGCGGAATCCACTTACAATGCACAAAATGCACAGTTTGGCCTCGTAATGAATCTTACAAAAATAAAATAATTTTTTTCAAATTGGTGTCCTTTTTTTTCGCGTGTTGTGATAAAAGATCTGAAAAATCAGAATTAATTCAGGCATATTTGAAAGTCATGGTAAAAAAGGTCAATTGGAAAACATTTTTTTAAAGAAAAATGACTAGAAAAACGAAAAGAAAAGTCTAAAAAACTTGTAACATTTTTTCAAATTTTTCTGCAGATATTTTTTGAGTTTTGCTCTTAAAAACTCCAAAAACTACCCTAATTTGAGTAAAAGTATGTTTTCACGGCTTATTTTAAGCTGAAATAAGCTAATGTAAGCCTACACGGTTACCTTATTAGATCGAATTTGGACCAAAAACTTCAAACCGGTTTTCCTCAACACAGTGAGAAATTTTTCAAAGTTTTTTTTATTGTTTGAATCACAACTGAAAGGGCTTTAAGATGATATATCACTCAACCCAGTCTGATGATTAATTTTAGTACCTGATTTTGCGTGGAAAACAAATAGGAAAAAAACTAAAACACGCCTGAATACAATTTTCCTCCCTATTTTCAATGGTCAAAACAAAAACTAGCTATTAAAGAGATTGAAATTCAACAATAAATATGGCATTTTCAATGGCAACTAGCTTCTGTTTTGCAAAATTTGCTGAACATCTATTATAGCTTCTAAATTAGGACGTAAATCACTGAATCATTATTTTTGCAAGTTGAAATACTTTTTTTTGTTTTTGCAAAAATGCTGAAAAATACATTTCAGCCAAATTGAAATTGAGACAATTCGGCTGAGAAAAAAACAAAAAAAAATGATTGGAGAAGTTTCAGCCAATTTATCATTGCAGCAATAATTCTACATAGAACAAATGTGTCAAACTGAAATTGGTTGAAATGTCTCAGTTTTATTGTGGCTGAAATATCTAGAGTTTTTTGGGTGAAATGTCCCATAACATTTGTCCCAAATGTCTTCATCTTAAATTCCTGAATAAGGTATTCTGTGTTAAGCCAACTAAAAATGATTGGCTTTATGCCCCCCCCCCTCATCATCTCTCACGTTCTCCCTCTCTCATTCCTTTTTTAACCAAAGGTTTCAAATTTTCATCTTGTTTGCTTCGTTTTTAAAAATTTATATGCACTATGTAAACGTGATTGCTAGAATTTACTAACACTGTGCTTCGAGTAAAAGAAAATGTAAGAAACCTGAAAAATCAATTCCTTTGTTAGAAAACTGAATTTTGAAAGGAAAAACAAGTACAAAGCTTGTGTTTCTCCTTTTTACCGAAAAAAAAGAAGTGGTTTTAACCATTTTGCTTCAATTAATTTTGGAATGATTTTAGCGTCATTGATAATGCGGTTACGTATGCTTTTGAAAAAAAAATCAAACGTTGCTTGACAAAAAGCTTTAAAGTTGCACCAACTATAACTTTTTTGAAATATTTTATTTCGGACTTCAATCATGAAAATAGCAAAAAAAAATGAATGATTGGATGACCTAAAGTTATCAGAAACAAAATTTAAAAACGAAACTTGGCTCTTTTTCCATATCCCCCTCCTCGCATAAGCATCAATTTTCTGGAGTAACGAGGGGTTTAACAAGGTAATTTATGAAGGCTAAATGTTTTTCATGGTCTAACAAATCTGCATGCCAGTTTCTAATAATTTATTCTTGGTGAACAGTAAGTTTTTTTTAGTAAAATCGCGGGTGGGGGAAAATAAAAAAAGCCCGAAATTGATTGTTCATTACTATAAAACATTGTATAACAAAGCGTTTGAGTCATTGTTTTATTCTTTAACCACTGCGTAATTTCCCTACTCTCCCGTCAGAATCACTTCCTTAAATTTTCATTAGTTTGCGTTTTGTGTCGTTTTCCTATGAAAAAAGCATGACTACTGTAAAAAAAAGTAACTAGTTCCTAGTTTTCTCCTTTTGTCTATTTCGAATTCTTCTAAAGTCGGAGTAAATTTTCAACTTTAAGCAAATCTGAAATACTTGCGTTTTCTGTTTTTCATTAGAAAAATTAGAATCTTCTTAAAAAAAGTTGATGCCTTGAGCTCAAAATTGAAACCAGTTTTTTTTGTATTATCTTTTTTGATGCCCTGCGATAAAGAAAAAAAAACAACTCGCGTTTTTCATAACATTTGGGTTTTTTGTATAAAAGTGTTTTTCCCTTTTAGCTTGCACTTCTCATAAAAAAGAAAAAACAGCGAATGGGTTGAAATTTGTCAATTTGGGTTTTCAAATGCGCTCGAACGTTCCAATTTTTTTTATTGCATGGCCTAGTGTAGCATAGTTGCGTAGCATAGTCAGCAAATCAATCCATATTAGACATCAATTCATATCGTTTTATCATTTTACTTGGTTAACTAATTGCATAAACAGACGCAAAAAAGTGGAAGGGAAAGTTTCAAGAAAAAATGGATAAAATACTTGTTTTCAAAATTTACTTTTTTTGGGAAAAAACTACATCCGGTTTTGTAAAAGGCAGTCGGTCTAGTCTATTCTCGAGTTAAATTGACTGCATTCAGATGAAATGATTGATTAATCGATTTTTTGTCTTCTTAGGCCATAAACGTTCGGTATATCTTGAATCAATTGAGGAAGGGGTAAGGAGTTTGCCTTTTTCACCGCCCAAAAAATCCTCTTTTAGTAAATAATTTTGTTATCTATTTTTAACCAATTGAGTTAACCAATCTAATTTTAACCAATATTTCAAAATTAGAAATACATACTAATTTTAAGGGCGATACATACTAATTTTAAGTTAGCAATACATACTAATATTTCTGTTATCTATTTTTGGCCAATTGAACTTGAAAAGATTTAAAAGTTAGCAATTAATACTAATTTTAAGTTTTGTTTTGTTTTCCTGGTGCGGAACTTTTTTGGCTGAAAACTATCTTTGCAGTAGGTTAGGACATCTCGGACGAAAAAGTTTGTCGAAATAAAAAAAGGCGAAAAATTGCAAAAAAATTTTGAAAGTCCGCAGAAAATCCTAGATCTTTTCTTGCCCTGAATGAATAGTTTTCAGTTTCAGATTGTGGTGTTTGAAAAATTTTTACCAGCTTTTTTGCAAAATCAGAATTTTGAAACACAAATTTGACTTTCATGTTCAAAAAAAAGTAGCAGCAGTCTAGTTTTGACACTCTAGTTAGGAAAACAAACTTAAGCTTCAGATGTTTTGGAATCTAAAATTACTCTCAGACTATTATTGTGTTTGCATCTGTGAGTTATTTTAAAATCAGTTCAATTAAAGTACGGTTCATGAGTTTCAGTTTTTGTCCTCAATTCGAGGTTTTTTATTTTGAAAAAAAAAGATCAATTGAGATTTTAGTGCCCTAGAACAGTCCCTCATGCATTTTAAACTGTTTTAAATAGGAAATTAGAAAAATCAACAAAAAAAGTTAGTGCTTTGATGGTTTATTTCGTAGGAAATTGTTTGGTTTAGCAAACAAATGCAAATTCTTCGCGTCTTTGCCAGTTTGTTCCAAAATCTACAATTGCTAAAAAGCTCTCCACAAAATTGTTGTTCTTCTTTGATATTATTGCAGTTTTTTTAAGTGATCAATTGTTTTTCAGAACGCACATGATGATGATGATCATACTTTTTTCATTGCAATCTTTTATTATGGGACCAAACTGTGCTTTTTGTGAATTGTACGTGGATTATATAAAAACAATCCCCTCTTTGATCTTCTTTTGTTCTTTTGCTTACT